TTAGAGTTACGGTATTCTAAGTTCTTCTTTCTTTTGTTGTATTTTAACTAGACTGTTTGAATAAATTGTGTTTTACTTAATGCTGAGTAGTTTGACCAATCAAATTGCATCTGAAACATGGCACTTCACATCTACCTTTAAAATAGAAAAAGTTAGGGTCCAGACTACCTTCCTAATATATTTTGAGGGGTCTGGCCTGGTCCATAGCAGTATGGAGAGACTGTCTTGTGAGGAGACTTTGAATAGCCTGGGCCTGTACTTGTTGGAATATACAAAATGAAAGACAATCTTATTGAAACAGAAAATATAGAGGACTTGGGAGGCAACGGCCTAGTGGTTTAATTGCTGGACTGTTAATCCAGAGACTCAGATAATATTCTGGGGACCTGGGTTTGAATTCTGCCACAGCAGATGGTGGAAATTGAATTTGATAAATATCTGGAATTAAGAATCTAATGATGACCATGAATCCATTGCCGATTGTTGGGAAACACCCATCTGGTTCATTAATGTTCTTTAGGGAAGGAAACTGCCATCTTTACCTGGTCTGGGCTACATGTGACTCCAGACCCACAGCAATGTGGTTGACTCTTAACTGCCCTCTGGGCAATTAGGGATGGGCAATATACGCTGACCTAGCCAGTGACACCCTCATCCTGTAAATGATTTTTAAAAAAAGGTATATGAGTTGAGGTTGTTTCCCCTTGTGGGGGAATGTAGGACCAGAGGGCTTATTCTCAGAATGAATGATTGATTGTACATTTAAGACAGATGAGCAGGAATTTCTTCTCTCAGAGGGAAGTGAATTTTGGAATTGTTTCCCTCGGAGGGCTGTCAAGGTTAGGTTATTAAGTATTTTCAAGGCTGAGATAGATTTTTAAATCTGAAATTGAATCAAAAGTTATGCGGAAAAGGCAGAAAAGTGGAATTGAGGATTATCAGATCAGTCATGATCTCTACTGAGTGGTGGAGCAGGCTTGATGGACTGAGTGGCCTATTTCTGCTCCTATGTCTGATGGTCTTAAGGTAGCAGAAAGGGTTAATCGACTTCCAAATGGTACCTGACAAAGTGCCACATGATGGACATTTGAGCAAACAGCTGGTGAAATAAAAGGGACATTGGGAGCACGGATATGGGGGTGAATGAGCAACAGCAAACTGTCAGTAATGGTTCCTGGATGTTTTTCAGCCTGGAGAGAGGTTTGTAGTGGAGTACCCTGGGGGTCAGTGTTGGTGACACACTTGCTTTTCCTGCTATATCATAATGATTTAGACCTTGGTGTCCTTACTGTAGCACCAAAATTTGTAGATGATATGAAACGTGGAAACTTTGTAAACTGGGAAGAGACATGTAGAGCTCCAAAAGGATTTTGCCATGTTGGTACATTGGGTCGACAGCTGGTAGGGTATATTTGTTGCAGAGGTGTGTTAAATAAGGGGTCACTTTGCTGGGAAAAACTTGAAGAGACAGTACAAAAGAAAGAGTAAAACTCAAACGGAGCTGAGGAACAGAGGGCCCTGGGAGTATCTGGCCATGAGTCATTGACAGTGGCATGACTAGGGGCCTCAGTTAGCTCAGCTGGCTGGAAGGCTGTTTTGTGATGCAGACTGATACCAGCAGTGTGGGTTCAACTCCTGGCTAAGGTTACCATGAAGAACTCTCCTTCCCAACCTCTCCCCTCACCTGAGGTATGGGCACACTCAGGTTAACCCACTACCACTCTCTAATGAGAAAGCAGCCCTATGGTCTGGTAAGACTATGGTGGCTTTACCTAGTGAAGCACATAGCCTTTATTAATAAGGACATAGTGTACAGGAGAAGGAAGGTAATGTTAAATGTTGATAAGATATTTGTTTGGTCTCAACAGTGGTATTGCAATTGGTTCTGGGGATTGGGCTTTAAGAAGGATGTGCAGGCTTCAGAGAGGGTACAGAAGAGAATGGTTCCAGGGATGAGGAACACTGATAGTTTGGATGAGAGAAGTTTATAAAATAATGAGGGGTATAGATAGAGTTAATGGTGGTTGTCTTTTCCCTAGGATGGGGGATTTCAAGGCTAGGGGCTCATTTTTAAGGTGAGAGGAGAGAAATTTACATTAGACATGAGGTGCAAATCTTTTATACAGGGAGTGGTTCGCGCATGGAATGAACTTCCTGAGGGAGTGGTGAATGTGGGTACAATGTTAAAAAGACATTTGGATAAGTACATGAATAGGAAAGGTTTGGAGGGGTATGGACCAGGAGCAGGCAGGTGGGACTAGTTTAGTTTGGGATTATGTTTGGCATGGGCTGGTTGGACTGAAGTGTCTGTTTCCATGCTGTGTGACTCTATGACCTTATGAGAGGGTTGCGAGAAGAATCAATAGGGCTGTTTCAAATCATCAGGGGTCTGAACAGTGTGGAAGGATTGAGAATGAGAGCACACAGATGTAAGGTAATTATTATGAGAAAGAATGGTGACACTTTTTCACACAGATGGTAATAGGGACCTGCCTAAGAGTATGGCAGAGGCAGGGTCAACTGAGACATTTAAGAGGGAATATGTATATTATGTGGGAAGGAAGAAAGTGCACAGCTACAGGGAGAAGGTGGAGACTGGCACAATGTGAATTGCTTCTTCAGAGAGCTAGTACAGACACGATGGGCCAAATGGCCTCTTTCCGTGCTGTAAAAAATCTATGATTCTTTCTTTCTCCTTTTGTTTCTGTTTTTGTCCTAGGTCAATGTTACAGATGATGAAGGGAGACAACTTGATGATCCCATTTCCATTAGGATCATTGTCACTGACAGGAATGACAATGCTCCAGAGTTTGTACAGGAGGCATTTTCAGCGCAAATTCACCAGGGAGCACATGCAGGTAATCTGAACACCATCCCAGATCAAAACGCAGCCCTGCAGATTCTAGAAATTGAAGACGAAAACAAAACCAGCAAATGCTTGAAGCAGTCAGCATGGCAGGGAGTGAGAGTTTACCAAACAGCAAATTTCTGCCCTGGTTCAATGTGTACCCAACTCACTAAAAAATAGTCAGCAATCCAACACTGACTTTACTGAACCCTCACCAACCAATGAAATGACAAAAGAATCCAGCTTCAAGTGGATCCAGTTAAGATGGTGTCTTAGACCTTTAGAATAATGGGATTACAGGTCATGATACAGCGATGATATTATGAGCATGTAGCTGTGAGATGTCATACAACAGGAGGGTAGTGTTGGGATAGGAGAAAGGGAATGAAGCTAACAGCCAGACAAAGCAACAATCTGCAGGTTAGCAGCTCCCTCCTATTTACTCCCAATGGCTCCTTTCCCAATAGTTCAGGCGTGTGGCTATTGGTGGAGATGGAGAGGCGATGCTTCTGTTGTTGCATAGCCTGCCACCAGTCACTGTCTACACATTGCAGTATCTTGTGCTCCTGCACTGCATCTTGTCAGGGCATGAAGAGAGGAGAAATACCAGAAAGATATTTTCTCCAAAACAATCTATGAATAATCAAAACTATTAAATTTGAAGTGACAATGACATTTGCTGTCAGTTTGAGCTTGTACACTTTCTTCAATGTAAGACAGTTTCACAACTCAGTTGGGAGGAGTCTGCCGATCATTGAGCTTCCTATTCCACAAACAATCACAAATGTGTAATGAAACCACCAGAATGATCAATTTTCCTGACTGAGGACAATTCACACCAGGTTTCATCATTAGCAGGAAAATAATGCTTTTTATTATAAACAAACTTATTCTTTAATAAATGGCAAAATAAATGGATTACACATTCCTTCTAAGCAATATCTCTTTAAAAACAATGACACATACTCTCATTCAGGAATAAGACTGACAAAAACAGATGGTTTGGTACAAATATTATGGGTGGAAAAACATAAAAAAGGAGAAACAAAATCTGTATTTCAAGAGTCCACAAGGGTGCAGTAATTTGTTTCTTAGAGTCCTTTTGATTTTTTTACTGATGGTAACTGACTGCAGAGCAATGGTGGAACTTTGATCCAGTAGCTTATTGGGTGGACCCAGGTCTTTGCTTGTAATAGAATGTTTCTCCAGAGTCTCTAGCTCTTTTTGTCTTTTCACCGATAGAGGTACAGAAAGATGCCTCTTGCTTGCTGTCTTCTGGATGTCTTTGAGTGCGCAGGAGTACAACACACTGCAGCCGGACCAATCTGAAGGCTGTCACTAGGCAGTGTTTCCTTAACTCAGAGACTCCTGGTGCTACTCTGTCTCATAAAGTATCCCCCTGACTGCTCTGGAAAGTAACAATATCTTGTGTGACTAAAGTACACAACACACAATCCCACTTGATCTTCAACGTGCTTGTTAGTGACACAGCAGTGTCAAGTTTCTGTTTTCCAATTTATAATCGAAAAGGATAAATTATATGTTGCTTTATAATAGTCACTAATAAATCCACTAGCACCCACTTCCTCCACAACCGACGCTCAGTAGCAGCTACAAGATGCACTGCAGAAATTCACAAAAGATCCTCAGACAGATACATGAGAACACCACCACCTCTAAGTTCCCCTCTAAGCCACTCACCATCCTGACTTGGAAATATATCGCCGTTCCTTCACTGTCACTGGGTCAAAATCCTGGAATTCCCTCCCTAAGGGCATTGTGGGTCAACCCACAGCACATGGACTGCAGCGGCTCAAGAAGACAGCTCACCCCCACCTTCTCAAGGGGCAACTAGGGACGGGGCAATAAATGCTGGGCCCATCCAGCAATGCCCAAGTCTCACAAATTAATAGAGAAAAATCCATGAGGAGATTCTTGTTCACCGAGAGGAGAGACATGTGACCACTCACTATCACAGCGAGTGGTTGAAGCGAATGTTTATAGGGGAAACTCGTCAAACATCAAACAGTACAGCACAGGAACAGGCCCTTTGGCCCAACATGTGAGAGGGAACAATATGGAAGGATCCACTGATAGTTTGAGGTGGGAATTGGCAGTTTAGTTGCAGGCGAAAAACACAGCATGAGATTAAATGGGCCGAGTGGCCTTTCCATGTGCTGTAAACCTATTTTCTGTCACAGGATACAGGATACTATCTGCAGCAGCTACTGACCTTGATGACCCTCTCCTGCCCAGCAGTGACCTGCGCTACAAAATCCTCCAGCAAATTCCAGCACAGCCCTCAGACAGAATGTTCCAGATTGATCCTTGGAATGGTGACATCTCATTAACTGCAGAAGGTATGGTCTCTCCCCCTTTCCCTCCCTCTCCATTCTCTGCTTGTAATTGTACCCCCTCAGCTATTTACCTGTGAGGGCATCATTTGTTTTCCTTTATACTTTCATGGACTGTGGGCAGTCCCTAATTGCCGTTGTATGAGCGACTTGCTTGAACATTTCAGAGGGCAGTTAAGAGTCAACCAGATGGATCTGCAGTCACTCGGAGAATGGCAAGAACTGCAGATGCTGGAGTCAGAGATAACAAGGTGTGGAGCTGGATGAACACAGCAGGTCAGGCAGCATCAGAGGAGCAGGAAAGCTGACGTTTCGGGACCCTCCATCAGTCCTGATCTGAAACATTGACTTTCCTGCTTCTCTGATACTGCCTGACCTGCTGTGTTCATCCAGCTCCATGATGCGTTGACACAGAATCTGGAGTCACATGTAAACCAGATCAGGTTAGTACAGCAGAATTCATTCACCGAAGGTGGTTCATCGGTGAAACATTGCTGAGCCCACCTTTATAAATTGAATTTAAGCAGCACGGTGGCTCAGAGTTTAGCACTGCTGCCTCACAGCACTAGGTACCCAGGTTTGATTCCACGCTCAGGCAATGGTCTGTGTGGAGTTTGCACATTCTCCCTGGGTCTGCGTGGGTTCCCTCCGGGTGCTCCACTTCAAAGATGTGCAGGTTAGGATGGATTGGCCATTCCAAATTTGCCCCATAGTGTCCAAGGATTTGCAGGCTAGGAGGGTTAGCCAAGGGAATTACAGGGATAGGATGGGGGGGGTGGTGTTGGTTTGTGTGGGATGCTTTTTGGAGGGTTTGTGTGGACTCAATGGGCTGAATGGCCTGTTCCACACTGTAGGGATTCTATGATCCCAGCTGCCTTGCTGGAATTTGAACCTATTAGTTTGGGCCTCATGGGTTAATAGCCCAGTGATATTACTGATACATCACTGTCTCTCTGTCAAGCTCAGTCCTCTCTAGATGTGACATCCAAATGTCCGGATCTAGCCATTAGGACTGAGTTCAGAGTGGGGCTTTCAGTCAATTCTATGGTCCCACCTTATTCCCAACCTTCTAGCCCAGTGAAACCAATCAGACGTTGAATATTGCACTGAAGCAGACCGGTATTCTTCCTGCCAAAAATGGACACGTTCGCATTTGCCCACATTGTACTCCATTGGCTAGATCACTCTGGCTCGTCCTGTTCAGCCCTTCCTGTGTTGATGCTGACCCTCCACACAAACTTTCACTGCAGCAACGTTCCTACAATCTGCTGGCTGCAGGGCCAATGGTCCAAAGTTTGAGTTTCAGCTCCAGAATGAAGAAAGTGCAATTATGAAAGAGCCTCTATAAAAATCACAACATCAGCTAGAACATGACCTTCAATGAATAAGCGTGCAGACTAAGCGCCAGGTTAGAGACGTAAAACAATCAGAACAATAACAGCAGTTCCACAGCACCTTGTCACAATGAAACCACTCGCTGATTTCACACAATAAATAATTCCTTTTGCAATGTGCTGACTGTTGTGTGTCATATAGGAACAGGAGCTGCCTATAGCTGTTAAAATGATGTCTATTCATTGTGACTCCTTCATCAATGCTTCCTCACGGTTGTCATTGGCATTTGTTACAGTCACAGACGGAAGTTGTGTTTGTATCGTTGTGGTTGGAAGGTGTGACATTTGGTCCAAATGAACAGATGAAATGCTAGTTTGATGTAAAGAAATGGAGTTTGGGCATATGTTGAATCTATTCAGAGGAGAGTAGATGTTGGCTTTTCACTCTGTTAGTCTGTTCTCTCGAACTACTTCAATCGCGCTATTGTTTGTTTCGGGCCTGTGTGTGTCACACTGATTACAGACCTTAACCTCGCTCTTGACCACCACAGAACTCCATCTCGTTCAGTTGAAGTCAGCTCCAGAATTTATTTTCTTTTTGAACAGGTATTGAATATGTTTTTTTGTCCACTTCTACAACCTTTATCCACAGGGTTACAATATTTCATTATGCTGGAGCAGATTTTCTGTTCCTTGTAAGTCCCACCCTTTAAAATGATCCATGTTCTGTAATATTGCTCCATTGCAGTAACTTTAAATAATAGAAGTACAGAAGGAAGCCATTCAGCCCATCAAATCTATATATTGTTTTAAACTGCAATCCAGTTAGTCCCAACATTCAGTCTTTTTAATTGAATGAGTGACATTTAACCTGTTCCCAATGTTCTCTCATTGAATTCCAAATCACACCCTATTGAAGAAGATTTTCCTCACACCACCAAGAGTGGTTCTTACCCTCAACCTGCTGCCTCTCATTATTTCGAGCCTTCAACCATTGGAAACATTTTCTCTAGATTTACTCTGCCTATACTCTTCTCGGTTTTAGGTGCCTGTGCCAAATCTCCTCTTAGCCTTCCAAGAGCATGGCCCAGGTTTCCTTGACTCCATTTCTTGCAGGAGATGTGACGTTCTTGCTTTGGATATTTTCAGGAGCTGAATCGTTGGCCCTCAGTTTGGTTGACCGTTACATCCTGACTGTTCAGGTCAAAGATATGGGAGATCAACCCCAGGGCCACTACACGCGAGGGGAAGTCACAATCACTGTTACAGAAAACCTGTGGCTTCCTCCTAGTCCTGTCGCAGTCCGGGAAAACCATCAAGGGCCTTATCCCCTGGCTGTCTCAAAGGTAAGGAGCCCTAGTGTTAGAGCTTTCTATTTACTTGGTTCATGTGTTGTGGACATCTCTGGGTGGACCAGCATTCATTGCCCGTTCCTAATCACCCAGTGGGCATTAAAGAGTCAACACCATCTGGAATCACTCAAAGAGCAGGTAAGGACAACAGATTTCCTTCGCTAATGCACGGTGTGAACCAGTTGTATTTTCATGACAATTGACAGCCGTAACATGGTCATGATTAAGCTTTGATTTCAGATAGTTATTGAAGTCAAGTTTCAAAATCTCCCACCGTGGGATTCAAACCCACCCTCAGAGCATCAGGCTGGGGAGTACTAGTCTAGTGATTGTATTACTACATCATTACTGGAACTGAGCACTCAAAAACAAACGCACTTGCCCTGGTACATATAACTACCTATAATAGGAACAGGAGTAGTCTATGAGCCCTTTTAGCCTGCCCTTCCACTTAATAAGCTCTTAGTTGTTCTGATCATAACCTTAAACCTACTTTTCTGCCTACCCTGATAATCTTTTAACTTCTTCCTTATCAAGAATTACTCCACCTCTGCCTTAAAAATCTTCAAGGACTCTGCTTCCGCTGCCCTTTCAGGAAGAGCGCTCCAAAACCTCCCCACATCCCTCCTGGGGGAGAAAAGAATTGCTTGCTGTCTGTTTTAAAGATGTGACCCCTTGATTTTTAAACAGTCCCTCCTCCGTTCTGGATTTCCCCCCATAGGAGGAAACATCCTCTCAATGTCCAAGACCCCTCAGAATCTTGTCGGTTTCAATCAAGTAACCTCTTACTGTTCTAAACCCCAGTGGATACAAACTCAGCCTTTCCAACCTTTCTTCATACGACATATTTCCTTGTTGAGCGTTGGGAGTCGGGAGAGAGCGAGGGGGCTGCTGGGTAAGTAAAACCATATATTCAGGCAGTGGCTAAACCTGAAACACGACATGTGTAGTGTCTCCCACCCATCCTCCTCCTCTAACCAAAAAAAAAGACTCTGTGTGGACGGTCAATAAGGCAAGTATTTTTTCCCTTTCGTTTTTTTTTTGCTTTTGTTGGGCGGGAAGCTGTCGGAGGGAGGAGCAGCAGAGCAGAGGTGAGTATAAAAGTATCAGAGCTCTAGCTGCAAAATAAACAGGAGTGACGTCACAGGGAGGCTGTGACCTGATTGGCTGGTAAGAAATCTGCGCTAGATTTGAAAAAGAACCCAGGAAAGAAGTATCAACAAATTTAATTAACTCATTATAATAAATGATATACATTAATAAAGTAATTAACTAAATAGAAATGGCTGGGCAGGTGATGTGTTGTAGCTGTACGATGTGGGAGCTAGCTGATCCCATTGCGAACTGCAGTGACCACATCTGCAGCAAGTGTTGGTTGCTCGAGGAACTTCAGCTCAGAGTTGATGAGCTGGAATCGGAGCTTCAAACACTGCGGCACATCCGGGACGGGGAGAAGTACCTGGACAATTTGTTTCAGGAGGCAGTCACACCTGGTAGATTAAGTCATTCAAATTTGGTCAGTGGCCAGGGACAGCAGGGTGTGACTGTAAGCAAGGCAGGTAGAGAGATCCTGCAGTCAGCAACAGAGGAGCCTCAGCTCTTGACCTTGTCCAACAGGTACGAGGTACTTGCTCCCTGTGTGGATGAGGAACAGGGCTGCAGGGAGGATGAGCCAACTGACCATTGCACCGTGGTACGGGAGGCTATTCAAGAGGGGGGAGCAAAAAGACAAGTGGTAGTTGTAGGGGATTCTATAATTAGAGGGATAGAAAGTATCCTTTGTAAGCATGGTCAAGAGTCCCTCATGGTTTGTTGCCTGCCCGGTGCCAGGGTAGGGATATCTCTGACCAGCTTGAAAGGATATTGGAGCGGGAAGGGGAGGATCCAGTTGTGGTCCATGCCAGAACAAACAACATAGGCAAGACTAGGAAAGAGGACCTGTTCAGAGATTATCAGGAGCTAGGAACCAAATTAAAGAACAGGTCCTCAAGGGTTATAATCTCCGGATTACTGCCTGAGCCATGTGCTAATTGGCATAGGGACATGAGAATAAGGGAAGTAAACACGTGGCTAAAAGAGTGGTGCAGGAAAGAGGAGTTCCTTTTCATGGGGTACTGGCATCAGTATTGGAACAGGAGGGATCTGTACCATTGGGACGGTCTCCACCTGAATTGAGCTGGGACCAATGTTCTAGCAAAAAGGGTAAATAGGCTGGTCAACAGGACTTTAAACTAGAAAGTGGGGGGGGAAGGGAATGGTGACACTTGCCCCAGTGGGAAACAAAGCAGCAGGTTAACATCTGCAGTGGAGAATTCAACTAAGTGGAAAAATATGAAAGAAATGACAGGGAAGGAGAATTCAGGAGCGGTTACTAAAGTCTCCAGCACAGACACAAATAGGACAGGGTGTTTGGAAAGGGCTAGCAATCAAACACTGGAAAAACGAATGAAAATGAGAAGAGGGAGGGTTAATACAGGACTGAAGGTGTTATATCTGAATGCACGCAATATAAGGAATAAGGTAAATGAGCTTGTGGCGCAGATCGAAATTGGCAGGTATGACGTGGTAGGCATCACGGAGACGTGGCTGCCAGGGGATCAGGATTGGGAACTGAATATCCAAGGATATACATCTTATCGAAAAGATAGGCAGGTGGGCCGAAGGGGTGGGGTTGCCTTATTAGTGAGAAATGAAATTAAATCAATAGGAAGAAGCAAAGTAGGGTCAGATGGTGTAGAATCTGCGAGGGTAGAATTGAGGAACTGCAAAGGTAAAAAAAACCATAGTTGGAGTTGGGCACAGGCCTCCAACCATAGTCAGGAGCTGGGGCACAAGATACACCTTGAGATAGAAAAGGTGTGTAAGAAAGGCAAAGTCACAGTGATCATGGGGGATTTCAATATGCAGGTGGAGTGGGAAAATCATGTTGGTAGTGGATTGCAAGAAAAGGAGTTTGTGGAATGTCTACAAGATGGCTTTTTGGAGCAGCTCGTAGTGGAGCCCACAAGGGAACAGGCAATACTGGATTTAGTGTTGTGTAATGAGGCAAACGTGATAAGAGAGCTTAAGGTAAAGGAACCCTAGGAGGCAGTGATCATAAGATGATAGAATTTACTCTGCAATTTGAGAGGGAGAAGATAGAATCAGAGGTAACGGTATTACAGCTGAATAAAGGTGACTACAGAGGTATGAGGGAGGAGCTGGGCAGAATTGACTGGAAGAGGAGCCTAGCAGGAAAGACAGTGGAACAGCAATGGCAGGAGTTTCTGGGAGTAATTCAGGAGACGCAGCAAAAATTCATCCCGAGGAAAAAGAAGCATGGTACAAGGAGGATGAGGCAACCATGACTCACTAAGGAAGTCAGGGATAGCATAAAAGCAAAAGAGAAAGCATATAATGTGGCGAAGGGCAGTGGGAAACCAGAGGACTGGGAAGCTTACAAAGACAAACAGAGGGCAACAAAAAAAGAAATAAGGAGGGAGAAAATTAAATATGAGGGTAAGCTAGCCAGTAATATAAATGAAGACTGTAAGAGTTTCTTTAGGTATGTAAAAGGCAAAAGAGAGGCAAAAGTGGACATTGGACCACTGGAAAATGACGCTGGAGAGATAGTAGTGGGGAACAAGGAAATGGCTGAGGAACTGAATAATTACTTCGTGTCAGTCTTCACAGTGGAAAACATGAATAATCTCCCAAAAATTCAAGAGGGTCAGGGGGCAGAGCTGAGTATGGTGGCCATCACCAAGGAAAAGGTGCTGGTAAAACTGAATGGCCTGAAGGTGGATAAATCACGTGGACCAGATGGACTACACCTCACAGTTCTAAAGGAGATAGCTGAAGAGATAGTGGAAGCGTTAGTGGTGATTTTTTAGGAATTGCTAGAGTCAGGGAGGGTCCCAGAGGACTGGAAAATCGCTAACGTGACACCCCTGTTTAAAAAGGGAGTAAGGCAAAAGATGGAAAAGTACAGGCTGATTAGCCTAACCTCAGTCATGGGTAAGATTTTGGAGTCCACTGTAAAGGATGAGATTTCTGAATATTTGGAAGTGTATAGAAAATAGGTTTCATCAAGAGGAGGTCATGCCTGACAAATCTGCTAGAATTCTTTGAGGAAGTAAGGACAAGCAGGGTAGACCAAGGAGAACCAATGGATGTTATCTACCTGGACTTCCAGAAAGCCTTTGATAAGGTGCTGCACAGGAGGCAGCTGAGTAAGATGAGGGCCCATGGTGTTAGAGGCAAGGTACTAGCATGGACAGATTGTCTGTCTGACAGAAAGCAGAGATTGGGGATAAGAGGGTCTTTCTCAGGATGGCAGCTGGTGACAAGTGGTGTTCTGCAAGGGTCAGTGCTGGGACCACAACATTTCACTTTGTACTTTAATGATCTAGATGAAGGAACTGAGGGCATTCTAGCTAAGTTTGCAGATGATACAAAGATAGGTGGAGGGACAGGTAGTATTGAGGATGTGGCGAGGCTGCAGAAGGATTTGGACAGGTTAGGAGAGTGGACAAAGAATTGGCAGATGGAGTACAACGTGGGAAAGTGTGAGGTCATGCACTTTGGTAAGAAGAATAAAAGCATGAACTATTTTCTAAATGGGGAGAAAATTCAGAAGTCTGAAGTGCAAAGAGACTTGGGAGTTCTAGTCCAGGATTCTCTCAAGGTAAACTTGCAGGTTGAGTCAGTAGTCAGGAAGGCAAATGCAATGTTGACATTTATTTTGAGAGAACTTGAATATAAAAGCAGGGATGTGCTACTGAGGCTTAATAAGGCCCTGGTCAGACCACATTTGGAGTATTGTGTGCAGTTTTGGGCCCCATATCTCAGGAAGGATGTTCTGGCCCTGGAACGGGTTCAGAGAACGTTCATGAGAATGGTCCTAGGAATGGAAAGCTTAACATATGAGGAACATTTGAGGACTCTGGGACTATACTTGATGGAGTTTAGAAGGATGAGGGGGGATCTAATTGAAACTTTCAGAATACTGAATG